CTGCTGAGTACTTGGATATAGACTTCCAGCCTCAAGAACTATGAGAAATATATTTCTGTAAAATATAATATAATTGTAATTATATTACAATTATAATATAAATTAATAAAAATATAATGTAATTGTAAAAGCCCCCAATTGAGGTACTTTATTTTAGCAGTCTGAATGGACTAGGACCAAGAAGAAACCTGTGATTGGTAAAAGAAATAAACAGATCAGACATTGCAGAGAGAACCCAAAGAGAAGCAGCACGTGTAGAATTCTATTCCACATCCTGCACTTCTGAGCTATCACCAAGTGAGCTATCCATGTGAGAATACCTAGTTGCATGCAGCACTTTCCCACTGGTCAGGGAATCAGGGCGGGAGTAACCAGGCACATGCAGAACTCTGTTCTCCTCCCAGCGATGCTAGGTGCTTCTCTCCTTGAGAAGCCAGTCATTGCCCAGAGCTCCAATCTTCTCTTCCCAAAACAGGATGGTCATGGAAGCTGACTAGGAGAGTACATAGTCTGCCTAGGTCCAAGCTCTCCTGGTAGGACTAATACAGGTCGAGAAGATGGGGTTATGTGAGATCAGCATATCTTAGGGGATTAGGGCAGTAGGGTCCCGAGCAGGGCTTGAGAACTTGAGCACGAGTTTCACATCTGCACTCAACTCCTAGCTCCACCACTTACTGGTTGCTGTGTCCATAGGCATCTTCTTTGATCTCCCCATACCTTGCTTTGCTCTTCTTTAAAATGGTGCCATGTAGTACCTACCCATCAGGGTCACAGTGAGGGTTCAACAAAATGGCTATTGTGAATTGACTTGGAGGAGTGACTCAACACCTGTTCATCATTTTTTTTGTTTTGCTTTTTTTTTTATTGGTAGTACTGGGATTTAAACTCAGGGCCTCATGCTTGCAGGTGCTCTACCACTTGAGCTACTCTGCCAGCCCTGTTTTGTGTTGGGTATTTTCAAGATAGGGTCTTGTGAATTGTCTGCCCAGACTGGCTTCAAACTGTTGTCCTCCTGATCTCTGCCTTCTGAGTGGCTAGGATACAGGTGTGAGCCACTGATGCTTGGCTTATCTGCTCCTTATTCTTATTTCACATACTAGTCCTTGGACCTGCTGCTGGGTGCAACCAACTGTCTGTGTTTCCTGTCTTTTTCCTTGCAAAACGCACCAAAACTCTAACCTGAGAATCACAATCTCTCTCAAACATCCTGCACATATTTTGGACTTGTGTCCATTGCAATGATAAACACTGGGAACAAGCACCCACTGGTTCCTGACAGACTTCCTACTTACAGAGTGTCCCCCATGGCTGAGTGTGGTTCAGGCAGGCAGGTGCACAGATCTGAGTATGTGTCTGCAGATGTGGTGAGAACTCTGTGGGGTGTTGGGTTTCCATCTCGGAGTTTATGGATAGGGAAAGCACCATTGTCCTTTCCTGGCTGGAGCCCAGAGTGTTCCCTAGAGAGGTGGGCTACACCTACACCCTTGACTGGTGACCTGAGGTTGGCAGCCAAGTTTCCCCTCAACTGTACCTGGGGGGAATGGGAAGACAGGATGGAGTTTTGAGTGATTGGTACCACCGCAGCTATTCCACTGTTTTCCTGTGTAACTGTCCCGGTGCCCAACCATTCCCCCTGAACCTGGTTCTCCCAGGGATTCAACCCAACTCTCATTACAGGACTAAGTCCAACCTTTTTTTTTTCGGTGATACTGGGGCTTGAACTCGGGGCCTCATGCTTGCTAGGCTTGCTAGGCAGGCACTCTACCACTTGAACCACTCCACAAGCCCAGTTCAGTCCTTTTTCCAGGAAGAAATTTCCAGAGCTCTTTGGAGGCTGCAGGGAGCCAGGTGGAGGTCCAGACACCAAGAAGGAAAAAAAGAAGGTGGGAGAGCATGAAGGTGGCAGCAGCAAAAACTGTAGATTGTACCACTCATTTTCTTTAGATAATAGCTTGCCAGAATTGACAGAAACACAGCATTTCCTCAGGGGTTGGGACAATTCAGTGTTTACATTTGCAGCATCCCTCATCCCTCACTTAGTCCCTGCCAGTTTCCACTTTCTCTCTTCTCCCCTCTCCAGCCCTCCCCTTTGCCCTGGGCTGCCTATGCCAGCCAGTTCTGTACACCTTGCTCCTTGTTGGCAGTGGAAAAAAAGGTGTGTGAAGAAATATGGGACATAATCACCCACTGCTAGCTGTAACATTTAAATTCTCAGCTCAGGGAGATACATGCACAGTGAGGTTGAGCAAGGACAGCCATTGTACCTATAAAGCACAGTGAAGGTCTCTGAGCACAGTGCCCATAAGCAGGCTTTGGAGCAGAAGCTGCCTTCTGCCCCTACAGACTCCAACTCCACTCAGCAGTCTTCCCGGCATCTGAGAACCAAAATGCCCGTGCATCTGCTGCAAGAGAAGGTGAGGTTCCAAGCAGTGACTCTGCATCAGTATTGGCAGCTCAGGTTGGGCCTCTGGCAAACTGGTGGTGGGCAAGGGACTTGAGAGCTCCTGGGAGGACTCGCCATCTTTGTAAAGTTGTGCTGACCTCCGCTGTTTTGGAATGTGCACTGTAATTTGGGAACTTGATCCTCCCACTCTCTTTCTTAAACTGATTTTTTAAAACAATCAATATTACAGCATATTTAGTTACAGATCAAGTTGGTTTTAATTTGGGATTAACGAATGACCAGCCACCATTCTTCAAAACAGAAGAAAGCTCCTTTCCGGCAATTGCAGAACCCTGGGTTTTGTAAGATGGGAAGATGGAAACAATTTTTACAAAACTGATTGGTTAACATCCAGTTACTTCCAGCTACTTTTCGTTTAGGGCCAAAGTAGAATCTTAATTATGCTGACTCAAGTATACTGAAATCTCAGGTTTCCAAGAGAAAAGTGTTCTCTTTCAGGATCTATCTGCTTCCTTAAAGTCTCAGTTTGATGATGTGGCATTGAATATGAGTGACTCCATTTTGGTTTGTCTGATCTGTTGGGGACTAGTGCGGGAGCTCAGTCCAAAGCAATGGCCTCCATTAATTTTTGCTTAACAATTCCCTTCTTTTGAGTAGGATTCCACCAAGTGAGCGTGTAACCAAAATTTGAAACGTTAGCACCTCTCTCAGGCACCATCATTTAGGAGTTCTGGTCTCTGTACCTCATTCACAGGTCATGGTGCCCTTATGATTGTGCATTTCTTTGAGTTTTTGCTGTTCTGACTGGAATTAGACTAGCTGACGCTGCACTGATGTCTGCCTTTGACCACTTAAAACACTGAGAGAATACAGTGCCTGGAGAATAATGCCAAGAGTTTGGGGTATGACTCTTAACCAGGGTCCCTATGAATAAATCCAGCTCAAATCAAATAGACCAAGGAATGAGTTAGATAAGGAGCCTACCCATTTTAGCCAAGGAGTCTGTTTGTAAATTTCTTGCAACTGAGTCTCTATTCATCTACGTGCAGCAAGAAGTGACTATAGTCCCAGCACTCAGGAGGCTGAGGCAGAGGATTGCAATTACAAGGCTAGCATTATCTACATAGCGGGACCCTTTTCTCAAAGTAATAATAATTATTAATATTATAATGAAAATCACTAAAACACTGAAAATAAAAATTAAACATAGGTTTTTCACTTTCCTTTCCACCTCCATGACTAAAATGCACCAAGCAATTTATTGTCATTCTGCTCTTAGTTGGGTTTAGAGTTTTATGACCCTAAACATCTAGGTGATGACAAACTTGAGTGCCTCTTCAACCTAGGTTTAAAAAGTGTGTACTCTAATTCTAATTAATGCTGACAATTCTGAAGATATTTCTGTTATTTTACTAACAATTATAAATGTAACTTGTTTGCCAAAGATTACCTCAAATCACAAGAACTGAAAGTGATTTGGGTTTGTTTCTATTTTTTAAGAGAATATTTGATTTAATTGCTTGTTTTTTCCTTAAGCCAATTAAATAGAGTTCCTTATAAGTTCTGGCAACTTACAAGGAGGTAGAAATCTACCATACATGCATAAGATACATACATACTTTTAAGATACATGTATCTTACTTAAACTTGTAGTCAGAAGCAGGTCTTACAACTTTCATTCAGATTTTTCCTCTGCCACCTTCTAAATTGTTTTCTCCTTTCAACCTATCTTTCAACTTCTTCCTGTCTCATTGTTCCTACAATTTTTCGCCATTCAGCCATAAATTTGCACTACTGAGGGACTGACTATTGGGTGGAAATTTTACATCTCAAAGGCATGGAGAAAGAATGCAAGTTTTTTGTAAGAAAAACCTTATGGAATGTTTCCTCTTATCTAAGCTGTATTTTATTAGAGGCCATGGACATAATTTTAAGTCTGCTTGTCTCCAAAGCTGCTCTCTGTGGACAAAACATACATTTTTTGGTAACATTGTATTTAATGCCTTTTCCTCTAACTTGGTCTTCAGGATTTGCTCTGAAGAAAAGGTAACCCTGCTTTGACTGTACTATCAAGATTGGCACTCTCTTATGACAGCCCTGACCAGGAAGAGAATTAAATCTGGTGTGTCTCTTGGGTGAGACCCACAGGGTGCAAAAAGAAAGGGGAATTTTCAAAAGTTAAGTTCACTTAGCTGTAGTACAGCTAGCTGTCCTTTCTTATCTATGGTCTCGTTTTCTGCAAGGTTCAATTACCTGTGGTTAACTATGTTCCTCAAATATTAAATGGAAAATTCTAAAAGTGAATAGTTCTGAAGGTTTACATTGTACACCATTCTCCATACTGTTATGAAATCTCTCACTATCTTAACCATGCTCCCTGGGAGAAGAATCCATACTTTGTCCAGCAAATTCACCTTGTATATGCTCTTTGCCTATTAGTCATTTAGTTGCCAAATTGTTTATCAGGTCCACTGGTAAACTATCAGCACACGGCTTGATACTGTTTAGTATTATCCACAGCTTTGGGTATCCTGCAGGATCTTAGAAAATATCCCCTGTTGTAATCGCCATTCAATTCCAGTTTGGGTATATTCTAGAAAAACCTCTGAGGCCTCGCTGTAGGCACCAGCCCTGTTTCTATCATAAAATCTGCCCCTGCCAATGACTGAACAGCCAATGCAAACCCCAAAGCTCAGTTCTTTCACAGCACAAATGAACCCTTGGAGTAGGGCCAAGGTCATATGTTTCCCATAGTCCAGTAACTCTAGATTCAAAAGCCAAAAAATACTGTGGGTGAATCTAATTAAGATATATTGAAGAACTTACATAAATGTCATAATGTACCCTTGTACAACTATGATATACTAACAATTAAAAAGACAGAGAACGTCCTTGTTATGCTGACTGGGATGCATTGGAAGCCACTCTTTCTGGAAGCACTTGGCTTTGGGGACTTAGCTGCTTCCTTAAAGCGGCAGTTTGATTTTGTGACACTTAGAATGAACGACTGCTTCTTGCATTGGTCTTATCTGTTGGGGTCTAGTGCAAGAATTTAATCCAGAACAATGTCCTCCCATAATTTTTCTCTAACAAGGGCCCCCAAATCCTGAGTTCGCTTGTACCACATAGATGTCTAGGTTACTTGTGTGTGAGAGTGACAGTTGAGAGCTCTAAAGAAAAACTGGTCATTTTTTTGTGAGTTGTACTGCCATTAATGGACAGAAATGTGGATTGTAGTTTGGGCATCTGGATCCCCAAATTTTGTTTCACGTGCTACACAGAAAAATCTTAACTTTCATGTATACATGCAGGGTTTCCCTTGTGAGCCGATAGGGGAACAAGTAGCTCATCCCTCTTTCCTTCTGCCCCTTTGCCTTGAGGCTTAACCCAAATGCATAGTTTCATTTCTGAAGACCTCCTCTTCCACCTAACACTAGCTAACCTGGGCACTGGGACAGGGTCTGAGGCTCTACTACACCCTTCCCCAGCTGCATTACAGAGCAAAGTGCCCTCTGCTGCCCACCAGACATCCAGTCTCTACTCCCTTCCCTTGCAGATCTCCAGCTCCTACACCACCACCACCAGCACCACAGCGCCTCCCTCTGGGGGCCTGCAGAATGGAGGAGAAAAGTTGGAAAAAACCATTGATGACTTGGGAGAAGACATCCGCCCTGAAATGAAAGAAGACATCCATGACCCCAGCTACCAGGATGAGGAGGGCCCCCCGCCCAAGCTTGAGTATGTCTGGAGAAACATCATCCTTATGGGTCTGCTGCACGTGGGAGCCCTGTATGGGCTCACACTGGTTCCCACCTGCAAGTTCTACACCTGGCTCTGGGGTAAGCAGCTTCCATTGTCCTGAGCAAGTACGCAGCATTCTCCCTGCTCTGTATTGAGGTAGAGTCTCACCCAGGACATTGGTGCTTTCTGTCCAGGTTTCCCAGGCATTTCTGTTTGGTTCCTGGGAGGTTGAAAGGGCTGGGAATAGAGCTTGGTGGAATTGGGATGCAGGAGTTCCAGCTCTGAGGGCCCCTTAATATGGGTGTTGGGAAGCGAATCCTAAGACAATGTGCAGGGTACAATGAGAGTGAGACCTGTGGCAGACAGGCAGCTATTCCTGACAGAGCTTTCTATTTGTGACCTACCTGCTACCCCCAGGTAGGTCTTCTGAGTTTAGCACATACCAGGCAACAAAATGTTCTTAGAATGAAATAAAGTTGCAAAAATTTTTCATGTTCCATCGTCCATCCTGCCTGCTCCTGCCCCTCTCTCCTGATGCCATAAAGTGGCAAGGACCCAGCACTTTCTAACACCAGTCCTCCCCGGTGTTAGAAGCCAAAGCTCCTTGGCAGGGCCAGCCAAGCCAGAGAATACACCCTTGACCAGCCCCAGCCTTCAAACTGCTATAATGAGAGAGACAGTTACCACTTCGTCTTGCTGTGCCCCAGCTCAGCTTATCAGGGATCCATGGGTGTGGGCTGTGTCCATGTATGTGCCTTGCAGGCAGTTTCACCTCTGCCTCCTGAAGTTGAATCAGGAGAGGGAAGCAGGGAACTCTAATGGCCCAGGGCCCACTTGCTACTCTGCGAGGGGACAGTGAGCCCAGAGTCCCTCTCCAGAGGACAGCAGGAGAAGTGCCAGAGCCGCCTCAGGTGTGGGTAGTTTCTGGAAGATTTTTTGAAGGGCCGTTAGGCAGGCATTAAGCTTTCTGCCCTTGACTTCTTACCTCTTATAGATGGTAGGACCTGGTTCCTTCAGCTTTGTCTTAACAAAATCCTCCCAATGTCCAGGGAAATGCCTGAGAAGATCCCTTTTTTCAGGATTTGGAAGCAAGTGGACACTTGCAGGTGAATTTGCAGGACTGGGAATGTCGTGTTCCTTTTATTACATGATTTCATCACTGCCTGTGAAGCATATAGTGGGAGCAGGCCAGGTGCAGGAGGCTGACTCATCTGCACACCTGGAAGGGTTGTTCCTGGGGGTGGGGGGAGAAGCACTTTGGTTCACTCAGGTCCTACGAACCAGAGAGTTTGAGATACAGCCTGTCTCTTAGCAATGAAATTGAATGCTATCGCATTCAATGCTAAGAAACTTCCCTGACCACCCCTTCTCCCCAGGAGGGGAGTCATCACAACAGTTTCATCACTGGCAAGCCCCTTCCAGCCTGTACACTCCCTGTAGCCCTCACCGGTCCAGACTGCCTGTTCTTGGTGACCCTAAGAAATGTGCAGGGTGCTGGGTGTGTAGCACAAGTGGTAGAGCACCTGTCTAACAGGCACTAGGCCCTGAGTTAATCACTAGTACATCCCCTCCAAAAAAGAAAAATGTGCAGAGAGCAGATTGCCTTCCCCAAAACCAAGGCTGTGCTGGCTACATTTTGCTGACCTGCCCTTGGGGGTGTGCTATGACTTTGGACAGAAACTTGGCACACACAGCTTGGATGGTGACTTATTTTCCTCCTGCCCTAGGCCATTTGGTGGGTGGCTTAGCTGACAGAATGACCATTGTGAAATGTGGATTTCCATACTATTCTGTCTTAAGGAACAAGAAGGGCACAGTTCTCAGCTTGGGCATCTCCTCCCACCTGTAGACTTCCTGAGCTTTTCCTGTTTTATCCCAAAGTAAAGTGCAAACTTAGCAACTAGTTCAATGGCATCATTTTTGACTTGGCAATTTTGAGAAGCTTCTTTGTCATTTTGGAGCTTCACAGGGCAGGACTGAAGAGATCCTCTGACATCTCTGATGGCCTGAAGGACAAAAACCACTCCAAACCCACTTTTGAGGCAAACCTATGAACTGTAACTTAACTATCAAGGTGGACACTAACAGTCCTTCTTTGTGGACAAAGAATGAATCTAAATGACCTGAACCAAGAGGTGTTGGGTAAAACAGGCACCAGACTTCCTGGGTCTAGTCCCATGTTAATATGGTAACCCAGGCACCAATGATCCAGGGTCTTCTGAGGTGTGAAACCAATGACTGAGGCTGGAGGCTTTTGCTTTGCCCAAAGCCCTTTCTTTCCTCATGGTGATTGTGAACCCTGGTTGTAGTGTTGTTTTCCCAGGTACAGGTGTGGTCAGATACTATCTGTGGGATGAAGATTCTACTCACCACATGGCCATGTAACCAGAAAGCCCTGGCCTCAATTCCAATTTATAATTTACAAACGAGAGCAGAGTTTGGAGGAAAAGGAAATAAAGTTTATTATTCATCAGATGAACAGGAGGGCAGGGAGAGTCAATCTGTCAAAGCACTGTCATTCCACTTCTGAGAGAAAATGTCTGTCTTTTAAAAGGGAGTTCAAGGACTCAGCTTGACTATGTGATGAAATGCATGACCACAATAACTGCTGGCCTTAGTTTTGCAGATGTCCAGTGCCACATCTCCGAAGCTGCATTTCTTGGCTGACAGGTCTACTGCTCTGGCAATCAGAAAGAGATAAGGAGTAGAAGACTGCCTGGCTAAACTAAAGTGCAAAGAGTATTAACCTTGGACTCTCCAGCATGTAGACAAAAGGATAAGATATCAGTTTAATTAACACACAGAGTAATCTTGCCAGCAAGTAAGCTGGCTACACCAAAAGTTTTTCCCTTTTGTAGTCCTGATTACATTTTTTTCACAGTCCAATTATTCCTTCCATTTTTATGGGAAAGAGGCATTGCATCATTTAACAGCTCCCCCTGGGCCAAGTAAGGAGTCAGTGCTCCTCAGCAAAAGCAGTTTTTAGTCCCTGTTATAGTCAGAGGCCATAAATCACCTTGGGCTTCATCCCAGCTCTGAGGAAATATGACCAGAACTTTCCTTTGGGACAAATGCTAACTCTGTGGTTCCAGATGAAGAAACAAGATGGGGAGGGGAGGGGAAGAGGCTGTTTTAGGAATCTATTATCTCTGTCTGCAGAAGAATAGGGGACAATTTAAACATGGTATTGTCTCTCACTGAAACTAAGTTCTGTAACCACTAAGGAACCCTTGTTTCCAACTGCCCCATAGGACTGAGACATTGTTCACAATTTCCTCCAAGGTCTCAGCCACCCCCTCCTAGTGCTGCTAAACAAAGGAATAAATGGGTACACTCATACCCTCTTTCCCATTAAAAGATCATGAATGGGACTTCCTTAGCCTGTAGTCCTCCAGACAATGAGGCAGGACAATGTTAGGTGCTCCATTGACAGGAAGTAGATGATAGAACTTGAACCTGAACAGATTCTTGACAGAATCTTCAAACCATGACTATACCTTTACTAGCCCTGTGATCTGGATAAACACAGCCTCTCACTTCATCAACGTCCTCACCTGTGACATGCAGTATTAATAGCACCACCCTGTTCAAGACTTTAGAGTGGATAGGAGGAAATTAACATTCATGGTAAAGTTGAGCAACTGCAAATATGGCTGTGTGGAGTGCTGACTATCCAGATAGGGCCACGTTGCCAGCAACAATATTGAAATGTGTTTGTACTAATTGGTAAGTAGTCATAGCTCTGTGTCCCATGAGTCCCCGCCTACTTGAAGCTCCCTCAACTGAGGAGTACCCAGATTGCTGTGTCTACTAACTTCAGAGCATCATTGTCTATGGATCCTAAACTCTGGGCGAGTGGTATACTACTCTAAACACCTTATAGAAGAGTAGCTAAAGTCAAAAGAGTCTTTTTTTTTTTTTTTAGTGGTGGTACTGGAGTGTGAAGTCAGGGCCTCACACTTACTAGGCAGGTGCTCTACCACTTGAGCTATTCTGCCAGTCCTGTCAAAGGAGATAGGACCTGAGATAATGTTCCTGTAGTCTGACAATGACAAGTGGCACAGTGGTGAGAGCCTATTCCCTCTCCTGCCTTTCTGCCTCCTTGCTCCTGGGACTCCTTAGAGTATCTCTATTCCTAGATGGAGAGGCTGGGAGGTGTCATTATTTTTTCAAGTGGTAAAATCTATGAGGCCTCTGAGACCAATGCATCTGAGAGACAGATAGGACCCACTGCAAGAGGACAGAAGCAAATTAACTCATGCACCCTTAGCCTGATATCGGCTAAAAGCATGTTTGCTTCCACACCACCTGTGTGCTCTTGCAGCAGCTGCTGCAGCTTAAACTCCTGAAGTCCTTCAGACAAGATGATGGGGACCCCACTGTTAGCCACCCCCAGAAAATCCATAAAAGCTTGCCTCTGCATTTGATCAGAGCACAGGCTGGTCCTCTCCCTGGTCAGTGCTGATTTCTGTCCACTTGTAGGCCAAAGCCCTATGCAAACCTTGCCTGTGTTCCTACACAGTTGGTTCAGGCTCATTTCTATCCTTTCCATGTCCAAAGATCCCACCTTCAGTAACATCACCCCATGCCTAGAAAACACAGAGACTATGGCATCAAGAAAGTGACCCTAACATGTTTTCCCAAATAGAACTAGTTTCTTGTGACTCCTTCACTGTCTTCTCCTGCAGTGTATTTATACTCCATACTCAGTGGCCTGGGCATCACAGCAGGGGCTCATCGCCTGTGGAGCCACCGGACTTACAAAGCCCGGCTGCCCCTGCGGGTCTTCCTCATCATCGCCGACACCATGGCACTCCAGGTAAGAAGCTGGCACAACCCAGCTCTTGTTTCTGTACCCTATGGATGACCCAGGGCAAAGTAGAGGGGCTCAATGCCTGGAGCAGAACCCAGGCCCTTTCCAGTCTCTATGGTCACCTCAAGTCAATGCTAGGTGCTGAAGTCCACACACCATGGGATACTTCAGAGTCACTGGAAAGGGAAATAGGTGGTAAATAGGAAGGACTTCCGAGATAAAGGTCATTTTTCATCCCAAGGTCCCTGTAGTATCACACACTGTGGCCGTTATAGTCCTTCAGCATAAAGGACCGTGGTGCAAGAGCCAGACACTGACCTTAATTTCCTGGATAGTCAATGAACATTAAACTCATGCTTTAAGGTGACTGCCTTAGGCTCCACAACAAGAAGACCAAATAGTCAGGAAGTCTATTGTAGCAGAAAATAAGAGCAAACGCTTCTATGGCAATATGTGCTTAGCTACATTAACTCAAACCTTCAATCAGTTTAGGAGGTAGTCCTATTATTCTGCTGTTTTTACAGATGAGGAAATAGAGGTTGCATAAGCCAGAATCATCGTCCTACCTGGGGCAGCCCATGCTGGCAAAGTCAGCCTTTGAGGTTGCTTGAGACACAAGTTCATACCAGTGACAGAATGAAGGGAATTGGTGAAGGGAACTCTCATTGCTATTAGCTTTTAGCTTGTAGCAATGGCCACAAGACAGCTTGTGTTGTGAGGTTCAGCTTGGAGAAACAGGAAAACAGGACCCCAGTTTGTTCCCTTTGTCTGGTAATCTCTGAGGCACTTAGCACATGTGCATTATCATCTGGGCCCTGACACTTTTTGCCCTGATGCTTTTGTTATCCTTGTGGGGCAAAGGGAAGGAAGAAGCATGTCAGTACGTTTTTAAAGGGATGGGAGAGTGGAAATGGGCTCATGGTCATGTGTTAAATGCTGGCCTTGTTCTTGATTTGGGTACCTGGCATGTGGAAAGGCATCATGATGGAGTTCCTGAAGCTTTATCCACAGGCCAGCACCCCAGGATCCCAAGACCACCTGCCCTATAGTCTCTGTGCTCAGGGAGTAGGCACCCCACGAGTACCCTGCCTCACATTCCTTGATGAGGAACCACCATGTTCTTTGCTAATGAAACTATGAGCGCTGTGCTTTACTCCCTTCTCCCCACCACACGACCTTCAGGAAGCAGCAGTGCTAGTCCTGTGCTCTGGGACTGGAAGTTGCTTTTCCAGATAAGCTCCAGGGGCAAGTGCTCAGAAGAGGGCAGGTACCCCTGCCTCCTTTGGAGCCAGTCTAAAAATCTATGAGGTTGGGCTGAGAGTCTTGGCCCTTGCAGACATCTGGGCATTGTGGAATCCTCCCTAGAGGGTGTCTCTCCTCAGGTCTGAGTTGCTCTTCTCTTTCCCTCCAGAACGATGTATATGAATGGGCCAGAGACCACCGTGCTCACCACAAGTTCTCAGAAACACACGCTGATCCTCACAATTCCTATCATGGCTTTTTCTTTTCTCACGTGGGTTGGCTGCTGGTGCGCAAACACCCAGCTGTCAAAGAGAAAGGTGGTTTGCTGGACATGTCTGACCTCAAAGCTGAGAAACTGGTGATGTTCCAGAGGAAGTGAGTGAAGGGAGAATGGAGCTGTGGTTGAGACACTGAGAATGTGGGGTTGGGGGTCTCCTCTTCTCTTAGACTTATAAAATAATAGCTGAGTGAGTTACTGGATTGTTGTGTTGAAAAAATCATGACTGCAAACTTCATTTTTTAATGGTTTGGAGGGTGATAGGCAAGTTTATTGTTCTGTTCCTTTCTGAATATTTGAAAGAAACCAATTAAATGCAACAAATGTTACCTGATCTAGCACTGTGATGTACACAAAAACTAATGTGGGTGAGTTGTTATCTTCAAGGAGTTTTTAGCTTATTGTAATGGAAGGGTAAGGCAAGTACCTAAAAATACTATCTGTATCAGAGACATAGAAAGAGGAGGGGGTGCCTAAGTGGGGAAACAAAGTATCCACGTATAGAACCTGTCACAAGTATGCAGGGACAGTGCAAACAGAAAGCATGGAGTGAGCTAAAGCATGCAGCATATTCCTGAAACACAGTCCTTCTGCTTAAAGTACAGGTGTGATTGGAGGATGGACTGCAAAGATAGACTGAATTAGGAATAATGAACTCAGTAACAGAAAACCACTAAATGTTTCTTGTGCACCATGTGGCACAGTCAGAGGTGTACTTTGGAGAGTCCACTCTCAGGACAGGTGAAAAGTATCACTGAGCCAGAGAGGTGAGAGGCAGGGATACAAGTTAGATGGTAGGGATTATCCAGGCCAAGGAATCAATGGCAAAAATGGGAAGCAGTTGGATATAGGAAATGACAGTGACATAAAAACAGGTCACATAACTACTGAGGGATACAGGCAACCAATTCCCTAGGAATGTCAATGGTCTGTTTTACATGACACTGCCTGTTTGATCAACATGGCCTTGTGCTCTTGTGATAAACCATAGTGCATTTAGAATCAGGAGGTGGTGTTCTGATCCATACTCCGCTCATTCTTAATGGGGTAAACCTAGGATTGTCGTTTAATATGTCCATATTGCCGATCTAAAAATTGATATAATGCTTGTGTTCAAAGATTTTCTACCCCATTCCCACCTGATTCTTTTTGCCCCCTGTGTTCACAATGTAGTGAGAAAGACAGAGCCCAACCCAGACAATTCAGATAGGCTTGAATGTCCTGTCTGCAGGGTCTCAGTATGTCTTCTCTCATGTAGGTACTACAAACCTGCTTCTCTGTTGATGTGCTTCATCCTGCCAACACTGGTGCCTTGGTATTGTTGGGGTGAAACTTTTCAACACAGTTTGTATGTTGGTGCTTTCCTGCGAAATACTGTAGTGCTCAATATCACCTGGCTGGTGAACAGTGTCTCACACACCTGTGGATATCGCCCCTATGACAAGAACATTAACCCTGGAGAGAATGCTCTGATTTCACTGTTAACTTTGGGTAAGTCAGGAACACACATCACGAACACATCTAATAGTCTGCTGATTAGGGTATTCGCGTAGGAGCTATAAAGTCCAGGTGATTGTTTTTATTATGTCTTTGCGTCTCAGTTTGTCTACCTTAAAACTTGAGACATTATACTAGAACACAGTATGAGAGCAAGACTTACATAAATAGAAATAAATGAAAAAATATACCGCTTTTAGTTCCTGGGTCCTGAGCTATCTCCAAATGCTTTGTATTTTGAGCCCCTTTATGTTTGCCTTTTTCCAGTCACCCCGGGGCTGGGCTGCAGTCGTTCTTTAGCCAGAAGCATAAATACAACAGTAGAAGGAGAGGACAGTAAGCCTAGTTTTTTATTTTTAGTCATGCTATATAACATGAAGAAAAAATAACTGACTTAGTTCAATGAACTTCAAGTTTGCCATTCTGGAAGAGTTTTTTTTTTTTAATCTCACTGCCATGGTTTCATGAATCACAACCCCATTTCCTTTTAGGCATCTCTACCATAGTGCGTGTTCTTACTTAGACCTATGTTTGAAACAAACCACTAACACTGTACAATTCTGAGATTTTTGATTGAAACAAAAAATCTGGACTGAGATGTTTCCTATAATGTAAATGGAGCTATAATTAGGTTCCCCGGTACTAGCCACTTTATCACTACTGTTCAAAGTGTCTGCCACCCTTTTACTTTGTCCCTGTTTTCATTCTCTTCATCACACCTGCTCTTTCCTCTATCCTCCTTGCCCTTTGCTTTCCTCCAACTGTTTCCTGACAAGCTAACTTTTTGCTTCTTGAATTACCACTCACAGCCATATGGTCATCTTCCCTGACAAAGCAGACCTTCCTCTAAGCCTGTGTCACACTGTCTTTTGCTGCACCAGTTGTCACACATAAGCCTTGTTTTCATGTTTCTCTCCCTTGTCTATCTCTGTGCTTCATGCTATTTTCAAACTGCACTATGAAAGCCTTGAGTGGAAATTAGCAACCTCTGTCATCACCCTTAGCCCGGGTCTTATGCCATCCCCTTCTGAGTTCACACTGTGAGCTACTCAGTGACAGAGGAGCACACAACCATGAGAAGCCCCAGCTGGAGTCATTTCCTCAGGAAATTTCTTCCCATGCTGTATGCATATCATTCCTGCTCTACCTGGGGATATTTTTAACTTCAAAGAGACAATGAACTCACTCACTAGCTGTTCTTTATGATAACCTAATAAGGCATAATGTTGTTACTGTTGAAATAAATTAGAAAAAGTCCTGCCAAGAGTTAGCAAACTGGACCTTCCAAATATTTGCCTATTATAGTAATTGTCCTGAAATCAGAATACATTTATTTTCCTTCCAGTCAAAGTGAAATGTGCATCCTAAGAACTGTCAGAAATTCAGAGGTTATAGGGAATCTGTAACCTTTTTCAGATGAGTGTTGTTTTATCAGCACCTTCTCAACTCAAGGGTCAAAATTGAGATAATTAGAAGCCAGAGAAGTTTACTGTGAACCAGCAGTGACTGAGGGAACTCTGTTTCCTGATTAGGTCTCCTTTTCCTCTTTTGGTTGCTGCTGCCCATTTGTTGGAACTGCCCAGCCTCACAGGGAGCACCAGTGCCATGGGAAAAGGCGTGCTACTTCCTCACTGCTGTTTTTCTGGACCCACCCCAGTCCTGAAGGCATGCACACAATCACAGAGCCTGTAGGGTCTCAGACCAGCACTGACTGAGCTGTGGCATTTTCCAATGTAAAGTGTTTTCCCACAGAGTCAGCTTCTCCCTTTAGCCTTAGGTTTTCTTCCAAAAGGCTCTTGGACACCATGCGCAGGATCTCTAGATCATGCTTGAGATGACTCTGAGGTCGTCTATTTGCTTCAGAGTAGAAGACACTGGGTTCATCCATTCATTCAATAACAACAGGTTTCTCTGTGGCTTGAGGAACCTACCAGGCAAGAGGTGTGCACAGATGAAGCAGCAATCCATCCAGCTCCCTAACTGCTCTCCTTGCTGTTGTTCCAGGCGAGGGATTCCACAACTACCACCACTCCTTCCCTCAGGACTACTCTGCCAGTGAGTACCGCTGGAGCCTCAACTTCACCACATTCTTCATCGACTGCATGGCTGCCATTGGTCTGGCTTATGACCGGAAGAAAGTGTCCAAGGCTGCCATCTTGGCCAGGATTAAAAGAACTGGAGATGGAAGCTACAAGAGTGGCTGAGATTGGGTTGTCTTGTTCCAAAAGCCAGCTGGGCAGATGTTTAATGTTCTATGATTAACAACTGAGTTATGCTACCAGGATAGTGAAGCTTAACCCATTCTAGTACAGTATTCTTGTAAAATGCTCAAGTATTGAAAAGCAACTCTCCTTTATGATGCTAAGTGATATTCTTATCTTTTTTCTCTTGTATTCTCATTGTCCTTTTAATTTCTTTGTTGTTCCCATCACCTTTCCCTGTGTCTCCCTCCTTATATCTCATTGAAGCAGCTGGTCATTCATATGTCTGTATTCGCCTTTGAAAGCATAGCAACTTTCTAAATCCCAGTGGTTGAGGTCTTTGTCCCAGATAACTATTTCCTTGAGATCTCCTGAGCTTAGATATAGTTGGCTCAAGTTATAGATGCAATAAAGTCATCTTTGAACTTCCTGTTTTCATGAGCCCATGCTTTGCTAGACGGAAGGGGAAAAGAATTTTATTTGCCACAGAGTTTGCAAAGCAGGTAAATGATGAGGGGAGAAATCAACATGCAGGGTATGATTCCTAAATAAGGATTGTGGTGAAATGAGCAACAAGGAAGCCCTTTGTGACATCAGAACCAACGGCCTGCCAAGTGAAGAGATGGAGCCCCTCCACACATGAGGCTTCCTTTCTCCCAACTGAGCAGATGATGGTCATGGAGCTTGGTGACATTAGAACACAACTGCAGGTCTCAGTGCATCACTATTCTTTGGGTAAAAGTAGTCTCTGGTAGGCAAAGAGTTTATTTTTCTTTATAATAAGAGCTCATATTTCCTCTCATTGTAATAAGATTGCTATGACATTTCCAAAAATTCAAAGCAAGAAGAGTTTTAGGGGCCTGGCACAGTGGGTCACACCTGTAATCCCAGCTACTTAGTAGGAAATGACCAGGAGGATTGTGGTTGGAGTCCAGGCATAGCAAAAAGTTATTAAGCCCCTATCTTAACAAAGAAGCCTGGAATGGTAATGTATACCTGTAACCCCACCTACAAGGGAGGTATAGGCAGGAGGATCATGGTCTAATTCCACTCCAAGGCAATTATCTAGACCCTACCTAAAAAATAAATCAAAGGACAATGGACAGAGGATTGAACTCAAGGTGTAGAGCACTCACAAAGCAAGTGGGAAGCGTTGAGTTCAAACCACAGTACTGCAACATATATATATGGTTTTACAAGGTGAAGTTCGGTCACCTAGAATATATCTAGACATTCATACTTTGCTTGGATTCTGAAAATGTTTCAGAGTACTTAGCTCTTCAATTGCTGATCCCCGAGGAAACTTGAAACAGAGAAGGAACTAGTTCTTGAGTTCAGACTCAGCAGCATACCAAGCCAACACATTAAACTGCTCCACATAGCATGTGAGTGGATCTGAGTTGCTAATTCATCCCACCTCCTTGCAGAAGAGGGAGAGGTTGAGAGGCCATGTCTGTTTGCAGATCTGAAGAGGTATCTTTTCAAGAGAAAGGCTCCCAAACACAACCAGGGGATTCAGAAGTTATTTAGTAACCTATCTGGTGTCCTAAGCTATCTCACTTTATTAGTCCCAATTGCTCCTTGGTTTGAGTAAAATCTAGTTCTCTCTCCATGGTGCTGTGGCCCCTCTACTCTTTCCTTCCTCCGTTTCCATCCAGCCTATGTGTAAGAATGCCAAGGGAGTGGAATAGGAATCTCTTAAGCCCCCTGCTTCTGGATTCCTGGCTCTCCCCCTTCAGTCTCTCTTCTCCTACCTGTTCTTTCTATTCCTGACTTTTCTGTTCTCCCTGGACAGACCTCCTGCCATGTGTACTCAGGGCAGTGATGACCTGCTGTCCCTCCAACTCCTCTCCTGCAGACGCATTGCTCACGGGCACTGACTGAACCACTGAGACTCTTTAGCAAGAGTGACCTGTGACCTCCAGGTCCTCTCCACCTCTACCCCTTGGGCCTTTGCCACACTGATGACCTCAACAAATACTGTCAAACTCTTAGAAATGTTGCTGGCCCATAGAGCTTCTCTCTTATAACTCATGGCCAATGTAAATGCTGGTGTTGTGCCACTGAGCTGGCCACAGAGCAGAAGAGTTTGTTGTTAGTCTCCTCTGTGTGGGTCAGAACAGAGAGCATGCTGAGTGCCCCCTGAGGGTTCAGAAAAGCTTTCATCTTGTTCCAGTCACCCTATCAGACAGACATTTTCAGACCTAAGTAAGGAGTTGGTGTTTTTAACAAAAGGGGCTATTGGGTTCCTGCAAAGTAACTTAGGCAATTGTTATCAAAACCCACACAGAGAAGTAACTGCAGATAATAGCAAAGCTAATGGGTGACTAACAATGTTTTCTCAAGCTTCATGACCACCAAATTTAGTGATTTTTAACTCAATAAAAAGCAAATGAAGTCAGAGGTTTCTTAGGTTTTTCTTTGTTTACAGTCTGAGGTTATGTTAGTTTCATAATAAAACTGAAGTGAATCTGATTACACTGTGTCTAGGAGCTTTTGGGCTGTAATATAGTCTCCTGAGATCTGTCTCTGTGGTCCATGTCCCTAACTATGTTCTGCACCTTGAAAAGTAAAAAAAGAAATAGAAGCTTCAAGGCTTGGGTCATACTCCAATAACCTGACCTGCCCTTCTTAAAGGTAACTTGCGGTTATACTCTGGCAGCAGGAAACTGGAGTCGGCTAGCATTAAATCAGACATGTACCATGAGCTGCTACCTCAGTCTTGGGAAGTTTGAAATGATCCCATGGTCACATGATCATATGGATGAAAGTCAGAGATCCTGGGAGAGGCTGAGAGCAGCAGCAGGAGCCCTGCCTGAGAAAACTACTCTTTACCTTGCATCCCAGACTGGGCAGTCTGTCCCTGCAATGTCCTGCCTCCAGGAACAAGTGGCTTCCAGAGAATGCAGATGCACAACAGCAGGAAGAAAGACTCACAGTCCCAGGGAGGGTTTGTAAGTTCCTAGAGTGGACAGGGCCTTGTGATCACAGGTAGAAAAGGTGATTTTTCTTTGTTTTTATTTTAAACTTTTCTACTTTATCTGAAGAATCCCACCTGGAAAAGAATAAGACAGACTTCACAGATTATAGAAGCTCCATATTCCTGCAGGAGCCTTCTTGACAGCACCTAGACTTCTAAGAGCTCCTAGAACCAGCTTTGCCATTCATGCCATTTTCCGATCTAAGTTTGCCCTGATCTTGGGCAAGCATGACCCTCTGAGTGGCAATCAAAAGTAGGACTCAGTAATTCCGAATACCCCAAATCAAGTTTCATTTACACTGAGTCTTTGTCAGACCTTAATGACTTAAATTGATGGTGATGTTTATCTCATCAATTAATATCTAGCTTATGATATTAATGTGACTCTTTCCTCTTTATTTTGTTTATAATGATTAAATCAGAATATTTTTTAGTTGTTCTATAACTGTACTGTTCCTTCCAGTCCTCTACTCCCTGCACACACACACACCCCACCATGGACTGCCATCCAATACAAACATCACTCTATTGTTTGCTATTTCTTACTTCCTCCTATCTACTACCTCACAGTTGTCTCTCAGATTAAATATGACATAATTCTTCCTCCAGGTGATCTGTATTATGAGTGGTAGTTATTTCTTCCTGGGGATGTTTTCTTTCTATCTGCAAATGTTGCAAGAGGGATGAAAAGCAAGAGTGATGACTTGTATCTATAATTCTAGCTATTAGGAATGCTTTGGCAGTGGGATCACTTGAGCACAGGAGTTACAGACCACCTTGGGCAACATAGTAAGATCCCCATCTCAAGTAACAAAGACAATAACAAAAATTTTTTCAGCAAGAACAATAGCACACAAGAAAGAAAGAGAGAAAGAGAGAAAGGAAGGAAGGAAGGGAAAGGAAGGAAGAAAGGAAGGAAGGAAAGAAGGAAGGAAGGAAGGAAGGAAGGAAGGAGGGAGGGAGGGAAGGAAGAAGAAAGAAAGAAAGGAAGGAAGGAAAGAAAGAAAGAAAAAGTAAGTGATGAACTATAATGAAAGGGAGAGTTGTAGAATAAGAGCTCATAGGCTGACGGTCATAGCACTCTGTTTTTCACATGTTTTGTAGGGGAAGGTATATAGAAATTAAGGTCCTGTCAAGTGTCAAGATTTAATCATAAGACAAAAAGGGATAAAATATTTGAAAATAATACTGAAGGAGAGCATAGAAACCAAATTCCTAATGCCCCGGGTCCACCAGATTTATCCATCTTTCCTAGAACAGGTTAGTTTCCAGAAATGCCTTCCAGGACAGAAAAAGAAATAAGAGGCATTCAGATCAGAATGGACAAAGTAAAGATGTCACTATAACTGGTACTGGAAGGTCAGCAGTTATCTCCATTCTCTTGTCTGATGAGAGAAGATTTCAGGCAAGACACAAAGCGGGTAGTAGAGTGCAGGTTATTAGAAGAGAAAAGACACTTTCAGAGATGAAATGGGGTCATCTCAGAAAGAGAGATAGGACCATAATTACATCCACCTGGGCACAGGCTTTTACTGAAGTTTATGGGGCTTGGAGCATCAAATCCCTCTTCATGACCTGCCTATGGGGAGTGATTGATATGAATATTGTGAAAAAAATTATGACATGTCTCACTCAATTATGACATGACCACCTAAGAAACACCCAGAGGAGGAGAAAATTTAAAAACTACAATGAGATTATAATGACATGGTAACAGGCTAAAAGCAAGTCTAGGTCGAAGTGTTGAAGATGCTCATGATTCTTCTCATATTTTGGTCCTTGTGCTCTAACGAGGAAGAATTCAAGCAGAACGTGTAGATATAGTAAGGAAAATAACAGTTTTATTATAGGAAAGAGGGGAGGAGATTGCAGGTGGGGCCTCTGCCAGGTGGAATGGAGGTGGTTCATGCAGAAAAAAAGGGAAGAATTTTATTTTAGGTCATTTTTATATCATCCTTAACTTGGAGGTGGGGAGAAAATCCATATCACCCCTGTCTCCAGTGGACTTTGGGAGGATCTGGGC